GCCTCACCCCCTCATTCCCTGGCCCAGGGCACCCAGGGGACCAGACCCATCCTGGCACTGGCTGTGGCACCCCAGAGGGGTCCAGCTGCCCCCACAGCCAGAACTCAGCCCTCCCACCCCAGGAGCTGAAATCACTCGATGAACATTAATTAAGCAGAGGTTTCACACCCACCCTGGGCAGCAGATCCTGTGATTATCCCCATTTTACAATCCAGGAGCTCCAGCTTGACTGAATCAGCGACGTCTCCAAGGTCACCCAGCGTGTTGGTGACAGAGATGGATTCAGAGCCCAGGAGGGGGCTTTAGAAAACATCTCCTTATCTTTATTTTTTATTGCATTTAAAAATAAACCACGGTTATTAAATATCATAATACCCATAATAGATTTTAAACTTGAACCGCTTCCAGAGATGCTAAATGATAAATACAGCTATTATCAGAGGGAGCACTCAGAGAAATGGATAGCCAGCATTTGTTTAATGAGTGTGTGTGTACACACGTGTGTGTGGGGAGGATTTGGGATGCCATTCCAGAGAGGGTGGCTCTTGTGGCACAGTGAGCTGCCAGCTTGGGCTGCTGAGTGTCCCAGGAGATCGTGGGGACCCAAATGTGCCGATGCAGGTGCTGCCAGGGCAGCTGTGCCAAGGTTTCCAGGGGTGACTGGTGACTTTTGGGGTGGTTTTTGTTTTCCCTTGGCAGTGCAGGAGCCTCTGTGAATGCAAAACGACTGAGCTGCAGGGCACAGGGCAGAGCCGACACTTCATGGGCATCACCTCAGGGTGCAGGGGTGTCAGCAGAGAACGGGCTCCCTCTCTCTCAGCCTGGAGTCATTCCCCACTCCTGGAATGCCTGGTAAATGGCCACTTCCTTGCAGTCTCCCTTCAGGTACTGGAAGGCCAGAATTGTTGGGCCTCAGGACTTCTTTTGTGTGCAGGAACTATCAGAAAAGTTCCTTTTTTTAGTCCAGCTTGTCTCCTCTCTTCCTCTGGCTGAGCTGAGCAACACCCCCAGCTCTGAATGTGCTTTGGGAGTGTTTCTGCTCGGGGGGTGCCCCCTCCTCCCACCACTCCTCTGATGTACTGACTGATGTTTCCTCTCTGTGCTCTCTTAATCTCATCTCCTCCAGAACTGCTTTGCCTTTACTTTTCCAGGCTCTAAATATCTATTTGCATCCCTCCATAATGCCCTGTTTCAGCTGCTGAGCACTTTCAGTGCAGGAATTGATGTCTCTGGGTTGTGATAGCCGCAGGGATCACAGCTTGCTGCAGCTCTCCCGGGGGTCCCTGCGATTGCTGGGGGCTCCTGGGTGCAGCCATGGCAAAGCCAGCCCTCCTCTGCTCAGGAGCTGCTTGCCCTGGGCGACTCGTGCTCTTTGGCAGGTGGGCAGCAGGGATGGGGAAGGGGTGTCCCAGCCTGCACCTCCCACCAGAGGTTTCTCCAGCAGGGACCTGGCGCTGGTGGCAGCAGGAGCAGCTCCGTGCAGGCTCTGCAGTCGCTCCCCTGTCCACCCTCGACCCTGCCCCTGCTTTATTTATTTATGTTTCAGCAGAAGCATAACACAAATAAAGCAGGGCCATAAAAATGTCAGGGAAAGTTCAAACCTATTCATTACCCATTTCACTCCGATTAAAATTTCCATCAAGGCTGCTTGGTTTTGACTTGAGTTGCTTTCCTTTTAATGAGCTTGATCTAGAAAGTAAAAGATGCTAATTCATCCTTACATCTCTATCATCTCCTGGCTTTTGCTATATAAAGCATCAAGGTCGCATTCTGGGGAAATGTCTTTTTACCAAAGGTGCCATAATAATAATGAAGCAGCAATTTGTTTCAGCAAACTGCCTACAGTAATGAAGCTTAATTATAACCGTGTTATTAATACTGCTGCTTAAGGTAATTCACTTCTGAGCGGGGCGCAGAACAGTAAACTATAATTTAAACAAGAATCGAGACCTAATTTAAATCATCAGATCTGCTGTGGAAAAGGCAAACAGAGCTGGAGCTCTCCCTCTGCTGCCTCCATCACCACCCGCTCCCCTCGCAGGGCTGCAGGAGCACGGAGAGCAGTCGGGAGCAGCTGGGGGCTCCTCCTGACCTCCAACGTGTCTGTAAAACACAGAAAATTCCACGTGCCCTGTAAGAAAGGGGGTGATGGATGTGCTCAGATCTCTGTGCCCGTGGGGGCCTCCCAGAACTGCTCCCTGCCAGGCAGGAGCATCACCCTCCAATGCCCAGCCTCTCGGGAAACCTATGCAGTGCCACTCTTGGAATGATATTTTTATGTCTTTCTTCCACTCTGTGATTTTAGGGCATGTGCCTGGAGGCTTGGGATCCTTACAGACTCCCAGCGCTTCCCATCCTGCTGCTGTCCCCTCCTTCCTGTCCCCAGCTCTCTTTTCCAGGCTGTGCATCTCCAGCCAGGCCCGTCCCTCTCCCGCTCCTCCCTGCCGGAGGCACGCAGCCTTCTGTGGATGCTCTTGGATGCTCTCGGATGCTCTTTCCTTTCTTTCCAGGCCTCTGCTCCCCCTTTCTCCATAACAAGCTGCCTTCCCTGAGCACAGCTGTGAGCCCTGACATCCTCCTTCCCTGAATCCCTCATTATTTCTGCCTCTTCCCTGCACTCTCACCTCGCAGCCTCCTCCCTCCAGCATCTCCCTGCTGCACCCCTCGCATGGCTACCCCGGCTCCGTGAAGCCAAATGACACGAGATGATGGCTCTGCTGTGCCAGTAATAGCGTTTCCTCGCACAGCCCGCTTCCCCGGCAAATGGAGTGAGGAGCTGCGCCCTCGCATCCCTCTGCAGGGCTCGCTGTCATCCCCGAGCCCAGCGTGCGGCAGCTCTTCCCCCCTGCAAAATGCTGCGGGATATTATCCCGGTTTCCTGGCACTGCCAGCTGTGCCTGCGCTCAACAGGCTGCCAGGGAGGAGGAGGAGGAGGGGTGCGGGAGAAGTAAATAGGTGGAATGTTTCTTCTTGGGAAGGGGAAAAAAAGCCTCCATCACTGTTCCACTTGACTGCAGCCTCCCGCAGGCTGTTTCATCTCATATTATCTAAGCGCCAAGGGGGTGTCCAATTTGAGGAACAATAACTATAAAGTCATTTTCGGTCCCCCGCTGTGGCGCAGCACATGATAGCCTGTGTAAAGCAGCAAACAGCCTCGCTGGCCGGGCTGGGGCCGAGCGCGGGGGAGCCGGAGCAGGAGCGGGGGGACCTGCCTGGAGCCAGCGGCTTTTTGGGCACCGACAGCAGCCAAGGGCACGGCTGGGCTCCTGCCGGCTCCTGCCGGCTCCTGT